CTTCAAATATTCATGTGTCGTGTCAATCGACATCTTCTGATACCTTGATCTTGTTCCCCGTCCGTCTCTTTATTTACCTTCCTCAAACATCCATCTTTACTCTTGCTCCCACCCTCTGCAGCCCCTTGCGTCCTAGTGGCACTCCCGCCTTGTTTGGGGTGAAATGCTTAAAAAAAAATTTAACTGTGAATACGAAACCGTTTACGCGTGACGTCGGTGACTCCACTCCGTAAAAAAAAAAAAAAAAAAAAAAAAAAGCCTACTTGATATGGAAACAAAAGTAGCAACACCTAGTGTAGTGAGGCTGTGGCGCTATACTCCACAAGAAGGGAAAACGGCTGATCGCCATTCCGATTGACTATGTGGGTAACGGTTTTGTTTGCCAGGGTAGGTGAGGTGGTTATAGGAGAGCTGTTTTCCCAGATATTTACTCAGTAACTGTGGCATACCAGTGACGAGACTTACTAAGCTATCTGAAGTGACTTTGTGCTTTTCAGTTCAGCATTAGAATCATAAGCAAACTCCGCTACCGGCCCGAGGTTTCCATTTTCGAGAGCTTAGCCAAAGATCTTTGTCCAGTAATTTGGCAGATTATAAATTAATGAGCTTCCTTAGCTGAAGACACTGCGGAATTGTCCATGATTAAATAATACCTGCCACATAGTATGGTCACCAGCGACAAAGCCAGTTCCCTCACCAGGCTTTTCTTGTCACCAGAAGAGTTAGAAAGTCGGCAGGATTTTAAAAAAAAAGACCTATCAAAGGCTGGAAGAACCTTTTTTTTAGGGTCAACGGCCATCTAGCACGTTGGGATTTACTAAGAATCCATAGCTATGTTTTTTTTTTTTGGTTTTTTGGGGTTATTTTATTGTTAGTTTCACCCGGGTGCCGGGTTATACAGTAAGAGGCACAGTTTATGCTGATGAGTGGGGAAGATTACAATTAACCCTATACTTAAGATTGTAGCAATCAGGGAAGCATCCTCTCGGGAGTCGGTTCCGCAATGTAATAAGCACGGTCTATGAGTATATGTGGTAAAGGGCATTGAACGGAACCTCTTCGACCGCATCTTGGACATGGTTCATTGATCCCATTTTACGAGCCGATAACCGCTACGCTACGCACATACCAATTGTTTCACTGTTTGTTTTGTTTTTTATTCTTTCTTTGTGTTTAAGTTATTTTCAGGGCTAAAATCGAAGAAGTTTAGTTTGGGCGATTCCTTAAAATTTCATGCTAAGTATTTTTTAAAGTTTTATCTAAATACCTTCACTTTTTCACTGAAAAAAAAAACACAGCATAGCACGATGAAAAAAGATCCCAAACTTTATAAAAACAAAGTTTTATCGTCAGAATGTTTATGTTATTTGTTATGCGACCTTACCCATAATAACATAATGGACTATTCCATACGTAATAAATACTGCGCCTCAAGAGGAAGCAGAGAGCGTTCAGTCTGAAGTCTGGAGTGAGGTCCGTCAGGAGTCAGTCAGAGTGAGTCAGTCAGTCGAGTCAGAGGCAGTCCGAAACAGAGTCGCGTTTAGACAATTACTGCAAGACATTGGAATAGTGATACATTGTTCTCCCTACTAAACCTGATCGTTCGTACTAACACTTTCTACTTCTCTGTATATGTTTCTGTTTGTAATATATCTGTGTTATTCCATATCCGTATTCGAGTTCTTTTTTATTGGTTCTACCTTGGACCATCACCGTGGTACAAGGACCTGGACCATAACATTATTACTATGAAGAAGGAGCAAATTATTTTTTGATTATTTTATTAAATTTTTTCATCCTTTCTCTAGGACGATCAAAATTTTGGTTAAAATTTTCGTTAAAGATTATTATTAGGAAATTTAGCGTCTGTTTTTGGTAAAAAAAAAAACATTGTTTTGGAATTCTTACAAAACTCAAATAATTGTCGGATTTTAAGGAGGTTTTTAGGACATTCAAAAAGGAATTAAATCATTTTTGAATTTTTTTTTAACTCTTGATAAAAATATTTTTTTTTTACTCCCACTTTCTTAATTTTATGACATTTCAAGAAATTAAAATTCCAGCCTCTTCATATGTATATTAGTTAAAAACAGGACTCCTTGGAAAATTCAAATAATTTTGTTTTTGTCAAACAGAAACACCATATACAGAAAATCTGCTCTGAATCGTAAAATAAAAAATGCAATAAGACTATTCTTTAATTAGAAAAGCTTTTAATTGGTTTTTATAAATACGATATATTAAGGACACTACAATTAATTAATAATAATTAATTTTTATAAGAATTGTTTTCATTGTTTTAAATTTTAATTAGAAAAATTTATTAAATTTGAAATCTTTTAAAATTCTGCATTCATTTCAGCTTTTTAGATTAGATTATTAAATGAAAAATATATTTACTAATCATAAATGGAAAAGCTTAATACAAATTATCAACCACTAATATTTTAAAAAGAATTTTGAATGTCTTTTTTGTCTATAAACGTGTCTATTTTTGTAAGTACGGGCAACCATACATGACATTATCAGAAAATAAAAGCGATGACTATATTAAATTTCAAGTCAACATTTCTAAAATTTAATAAAACATTATATTACGGAGAATATTTTCCTAAATTTTTAAGCTTTCTGGGAGCTTAAAAATTATATAAAAAAAGGTGTTCATGTAATTTTCTTAAATTGGTTTACAGATAAAATCTTCATAGAACATTAGACCTGTCATCAGGCTGTGAACATGTTAAATCAGCTACTGTCAAGTTAAAAAGACAGTTACTGTCAATTTACAAAATGTTTTCTGCGATATTTTAAACTTAAAGTAAATAATATTTGTTTTGAATCAGATTAATTATACTTTAAATCAGTTAATATTCCTCAAATAAAGTTTCAGAAAATTATATTTTATTTTTGCCAGATTTCTTCATAAAGAGAATTACATTGCGATGAAAGACGACTAAAAAGGGGAGATAATCAACTATTTTAGAAAAAAAAAACAACTCGTTCCAATCAATTTATATTAGTTTTTGAAATGCGGCAAAATATTTTCTTTATTAGAAATGTGAAATTTAATCTATTGGCTTGAAATTAAAACTAAGATAAAAGCTTCAAGAATGAGATTTCATTTTTAAAAATTCATTTTAAATCTTAGGTATCTTGTTTTTGTGGAAGTCCCTAGTTTTATCTTTTTTTTCTACAATAGATATTATCTGGAGGTAAATAACGATATTCATTTCTATGTATTCGAATCCAGTTAAAAATATTCTAAATTCGATTTTAATAAAATCTCTAAATTTATTTCTTCTTCCTGAAATAAATGTCTTCAGTTAGAAGCGTGGTAATGAAAATATTATTTGGACCACGACGTTTCAACAGGTTCGCTTTCTGGCCCACTAAGTGAGGTTATATAAAAATTATGTATTTTCTTCTATGAAGATCGTATTGTTTTTATTCTATGAAAAAAAAACGTCGTTATTCTAAGAAAAACACATTGTCTTTATTCTAAGAAAATAAGACGTAATTCTATGAAAAACAAATTGTCATTATTCTATGAAAAAAACATATTGTCTTTATTCTATCTCAAAAGCATATTGTGTTTATTTTATGAAAAACATATTGTTTTTATTCTATGAAAAAACATTGTCTTTATTCTATGAAAATAAGTCGTTATTCTATGAAAATAAGTCGTTAATCGATGAAAAAATACTGTCTTTATTCTATGCAACTAAGTAAATATTCTCCGAAATACGTATTGTTTTTATTCTATGAAAAAACAGTGTGTTTATTCTATGAAAAAAATCGTTATTCTATTAAAAACCTATTGTAATGACAAAAGTACACTGGCGTAGGCTTTAAGTAAGCTTTATTCAACTGAGAATACAAGGTTCGCGTATAGTGTCCTTTTATAGTCCCAGTAAACAGAAATAGCTCTCTTAAAGAGGAGAGTAACAAAACAAGGGGAGGCCACTCTTGATTATTCATGACAACTATTATCATTATTCTAGGAAAATAGGTCGTTATTTTATAAAAAGCGTATTGACTTTATTCTCGGAAACTAAGTCGTTGTTCTATGAAAAACGTATAGTCATTATTCTTTTACTTATTGGACTTCCCATCTCCATCTTTGCTATTTCAACCTTGCCTGAAGTTCTGAGATGAAGTATTGGAATTCTGAGGCGAATGATGGCGTACAGAACTGCCTTTCTGTCACTTGAGCTCTGGTTAATGCCACCAGATACTAATGGTGTGAAAAATAAATGGGCCCAGCGATAATAACAACGGAAAGGCAAATAAGATGTCAGAGAATGAAAGCAGTAAAGTGGGAATATAAAGAAGTTTGAAAATAAAAAAGACTAACTGAAATTTTTAAAAAAAAACGTTAAAAAGAAAAATGTACTCATTTAAAGCCTAAATTCAATCCGTCCGATATTTAAAAAAAAAATAACACAAATTCATAAATGGGGCATTCATTCATTGAATAGAGCTCTCCAAGGCAAAAAGGAAGAATTGTTCACAGTATAGTGTACACAGCGTAAGAAATCGCAAGATGGTTGTCGGTAGCAGGAAAGAATCCCTAGAGACGAAGAAATATATTTTCTAAAAAAACAAAACGGAACCAAAGACTAGTTTGATTATTATTATTATAATTATTATTATTATTATTAAAAATTTTAAGAATAATCAAGTTAGAATAGAATTATTGATTGAATAAAAGTGGGTTGAGTTGGATCGCTTGTTGTGACGTCACAACAGATCCATTTTTTTTTTTTTTTTTTTTATTTCCCGTTCATTTTCCTGCACAACAGATTCAAGAATTACAGTTTGTACAATCTTTGGTTTGTTTCCATTTTACTTTGACTTTTGTGCTTTTTGTTTGTTCTTGGATTTTTGTTTTGTTTTTATTTTTTTCCATTCGTTTCGTTAATATTAAAAACGTACGTTCAGTTTTTCTTTGAGAGAAACAAAAAAGAAAAGATAAAAAAAAAAGTAGAACTGATTTGTTCAAATTAAGAATCACGGAAAATGAGTTTATTTGTATCTGTCGGGTATGGGTGTGGGGAATAGTTAGAAAGAAAGAAAGAAGCAAACAAACAAACAAAAATAAAAAAGAAAGATAGAAATGACGGATTTGTGGGTAGAAAGAAAGAAAGAAAGAAAGAAAGAAAGAAAGAAAGAAAGAAAGAAAATGAATACATGGGTAGAAAGAAATAACGAAAGACGGATAGAAAGGAAGAAAGAAAGAAAGAAGATGAATATATGGACACAAAGAAATAACGAAAGAAAGAAAGAAAGAAAGAAAGAAAGAAAGAAAATGAATATATAGAAAGAAAGAAAGAAAGAAAGAAAGAAAGAAAGAAAGAAAATGAATATATAGGTAGAAAGAAAGAAAGAAAGAAAAAAAGAAAGAAAATGAATATATAGATAGAAAGAAAGAAAGAAAGAAAGAAAGAAAGAAAGAAAAGAAAGAAAGAAAGAAAGAAAGAAAGAAAGAAAGAAAATGAATATATGGGTAGAAAGAAATAACGAAAGAAAGAAAGAAAGAAAGAAAGAAAGAAAGAAAGAAAGAAAGAAAGAAAGAAAATGAATATAAAGAAAGAAAGAAAGAAAGAAAGAAAGAAAATGAATATATGGGTAGAAAGAAATAACGAAAGAAAGAAAGAAATAACGAAAGAAAGAAAGAAAGAAAGAAAGAAAGAAAGAAAGAAAGAAAGAAAGAAAGAAAGAAAAGTCGGACAGGAAAACTGAAGAATGTCATAAATAAAAAGGAAGCATTTAGAAAAACAAAATAAATTTATGATTAAAGTAAATATAATGTAAAGGTTGAAAAATTGGGAGACAGAACTGATCAATATTATTCATACATGTTTGAAAGAATTATTCCTGCCTAAATAGACCTTATTTAAATATATACACACATAGACATTAATAATTTTTTCAAATAATATATATGTAAAAAAAAATTGCGGAAAATATATATATATATTTCTTGGTAATTACAATTACATTGTCCATGTCCTGTACTAGCAGTAAATACCAAATGTAAATACAGAACCTTATGATAGAATTTTTATTTTTATTATATATATATATATATGAATGTAGTGTTGGTAGGATTTTCTTTACTGGAAACTTTGGAATAAAATAAATTGGCTCAAGGGTTTAAAATAAATAATATATTTTTATTTATTTTCTCTAGGGTGATGAGTGAGTCTTTTGATATTCAGTGTCGCAAAAAGTTCGTTAATAACACGGATATTAGTAGCAGTTCGTAATAAGGCGGCTATTGGCCGCTGTCTGGAGAAATGTTCGTTTCAGCCGGGTATTCGATAGTTTGAATGTCAGCACTTGATAGGTGTAAATATAAAAATACATATGGAAAAAAGGGTACAATTAACATTTTTTGAAAAAACGTGTATTTCTTAGTAATTACAGTGTCCCTGTCCTGTACATATTACTAGCAGTAGATACCATATATAAATAGACAACGTTATAATGAAATTTTAAAAAATTTTTAGTAATTGGTTGATATTTTAAAATAGTTCACTGCACAATTTGCACATTAACAGATAGTTGAAATGCACAATAGAGCATGGCATGCGGTCCATTATATTAAGAACAATCATTTGTGTTCACTAGAAAATTGTTCGAATGTGCTGGTAACTGCTTCTGCAATCAATGGATAGCAACCTATATGATTTCAAATTGTCTTCAGACAGATTTCTTAAGCTTGTCTTTATGATCTAAAGAAAATGTCCTCTCAAATTGGACTTGAGTAATTGATAGTGTGCAGATGACTTTATACACTTCTTATTCCTTTTTTTTATTACTAAAACAGTTATCTATACTATTTACATTGTTCGGACTATCATCCTCATCTTTGTTGCCACATTTATCACAACGTTTTAGCCGTTGTACGCTCCGGCCTTCTTCAGGTGGTTGGAATGTCGAACTGAACCCTTGTCTGTCTCTCTCACACTAGTCGTTGCAGCTATACTGAGATTGTTGAAACTTGCCTAATGCATGGAATAATAATGCAACACAAAATGTACTTAGAACAAAATGTATTGAAACAAGAAAGTGTACACAATATTTACAGATAGTTTGGTATATTCTTGGGAAGACCGTTCCTGGAGAATGTGTTGACTTAGTCGCAGTCGGGCAGAGTCTCTGGTTGAATCTCTTGATTCCACCCTCTCTTCCCGGTACCAACCATATTTATATGGTCGGTACTCCACTATGCAAATTAGGTGGATCCTACCACAACAGAGATGCTGCGTGAAAGTCCGGCTCGAGCAGGGAAAATCAATAATCTTCCAAGACGCCGATACCGACGACGGTGACACTCGTAATGGTTGAATATGACACATGGTTGGTTTTATATGGAGCTGAAAAAATAGCCAAGTCCCCAGGTATGCCCGCCAGACATCGATATAAAGAGTGTAATAAGACTGTATGAACGCTTTTATTTATTGTATATAAAATACAATTGTGGCACAAGGCCAAAATGGGGAGGGTTTGAGGCTGGTCGTCACTAACTATCTTATACCTAGCTAATCTGATTCACGATCCATTCACACATTACAGTTTCCACATTGACCACAAGAACTCGTCCGTCACCAATCAATCCTCCGTCCACCATAATACCGCATCCTCTCAAGGGGAAACCTACAAAACGTGCCCCCATGCCTTAAAAATTTAATGATAATAAAATATATATATATATATATATATATATATACAATTCTAATAATGAAGAATGAGAGGGGAGGGAGATGAACCCAATAATAAACTAAAACTGAACACAAAGTAAACTAAACTTAACTGATGTTAGTAGGGCCCGTCCAACCCTCAAAAAGGAGAGGCCGCTGTATTCTGCACATTGGACAAAATCGAGAAGCTCTCTCACTATGGATGTGAGAAAAGGATAAAAAATAATACGGGCCTGGGAAAATATAAAGCTGACCCAGTCGAGATGAAAAAGGGCGGGCCAAAACAAACTGGGGTGGTGGTGGGAAACTCGACTTGAATCATAACCAAAGAGGCAGCCGGAAACAGACCAGGAACAACACTTACATTAACTAGGCACACTAAAGCTTGTCTAACCTAACCAAGGGGAGGGCTCCGCAGGAAACCACCCCGATGTGATGTATGTTGACCTAAAAGAGAAAATCAAGGCTAGCCCCGTTCAAACGAACCAAGCTCGCCTCTTTCACCCACCTTTCGCTGAAGACTGTCGAATGCAAGAGTTTTCTATCAGTTCTAATCTTCATCTTGAGCTGATGCTCAAAGAATCGGATCAGATCCTGATGAGAAAGACGATTGCCTCGCAAGACTTCCTCCTGTCGCGTCGTCCAAATCACCATTCGGGCCGTGGCTAGCAGCGTCAGAAACACCATCCGTTTCACCCCAGAATACCGAGGCGACACATTGTCACACGCGTATGCGCGATCAATGAGCACTAGTTTTCGGGAGCGAGACGAGCCGTCACCTCGCCGACATGGTCCCATAAGGCCACACCGTTCACAGTCTGGCAAATTCGCGAAGCCCCATATGAAGACCTTGTCATTGAGAGGTAGCCGATTCCGAACTAATCGCCAGGTAAGCAAAAACTCAGGGCTACTGAGATAATCCACCGCTGGCGCCCAAGACCAGAAAGAGAGAAGCTCTTCCTCCGACTAGCCGAGCTGCTCACGTAGAGAATCCTTCGCGACCCCCTCCACTAGAAGACGATAGAAGACCTTCCTGGGCTGTGAAAGGTCACTGGACCGAGGAACGGCCAACAAGGCCGACAGACACTCGCGAAGGAAATCCGATTGATCCCGGGGTTTACGAAGGCGCTCAACTCGCGAGATGGGGCGATAGATAGTAAGGCGAGGGAACGCGTCCCTAACAATCTCCGCCATAATCGAATCTCCTCCTGTCAACGCGCGACGTAGGAAAGCCAACCTCGAGGCGAGTTTGTGGCTCGCCAAGTGTGGCATTCCCAGCCCGCCATGATACGGACGTTGTGCACAGACTCGTCTGTCGACCTGATTCCCGCGTCCCCTCCTTAAAAGACTGTATGAACGCTATGTATGATCCAGTTTCGATATATATGGTCATAGGCATATATAAACAGACACAGCTAGATAGAAAAATAAATAGACAATGAACAAATAGATAGATAGATAATGAACATATAGATACATAGATAATGAACAGATAGATAGATAGATAGATAGATAGATAGATAGATAGATAGATAGATAGATAATGTACTATTTTATTAACCCCAATATTTCGTCAGTTACTCTCGGCCTGTCCGTTGTAATACGGCCCCTATAGATTGATACGCAGACGTTCAATTCCGCCCGCAATTTGTGAGAGACTACCTCCTACTGTCTGGGTCTGTTGTTTCTATAACCGAGTCTTACAAAGTGGGTACAGTTGTGTGGTCACGTGCTTCCTAACTAGGCGGCCGGAACTGGATTAGGAGTCAATGCCTGGTGCATCCGGGTTGCTTGATAACTGGAGTGAATAGCATTCAATGTTTCTTCAGTCACCATAAGTGTTATGGTCCAAGTTCCTTGTACCACGGTGATGATCCATGGTTAGAACTAATAAAAGAATGATACGAACACAGGTATGGAATACAAAGATATATTACAAGAGAAATATAATACAAAGAAATAGAAGTATTAGTAATGACTATCAGATTTGGTTAGAGTGAACTATGTTGTCTCGACAAGTATCACTATTCCAATGTCCTTAAAATATGCTCTCAATTATCTCTCCTCGTCTTACAATATCTCCTCATACCTCTTGAGAGGCGCAGTATTTATAATGTCAGGAATAGTCCATTATTATTATGGGTAAGTTCCTATAACAATAAGATAGATAGAAAGATAGATGATGAACATAGATAGATAGATAGATAGATAGATAGATAGATAGATAGATAGATAGATAGATAGATAGATGGACGAAATGCGGCCCGAATGGCATTTAGAATGGGACGCCTAATTTCACGAAGAAAATAACGTTATTAAAATGTTTATTTTCTTTCGTTCTCACTTGTTCACTCACACATTCTCTCATGCATAGTCACATACATAAACAATGGTTAAGTTCAATGTTTCGTGAATTTTTGTAAACTTTTCGTGAATAAATATACTTCTTTTAAAAATATGTTTTTGCGTCATCAAATGAATAAATTAGAGAGAAATCCCACAGAGCGGCGTGTGTTAATCTTTCTGTCTTCAATGATAATATTATAACAAGAGTTCATTTTTTTAATTATATAAAGGAAAAAAAATCGACTTTTCCCCATTTCTAAGGTAGATGCTTATGCATGTGAAAATGTCTGCGGTATCTTTAATGAAAAAATGCCTTTTTAGCGGTTAGGCCCACCTTATGATGAACTGCGCCTCATACGGCCCAATGTTCGTAAAAGGTTGTCCATTCCTGAGATAGATAGATAGATAGATAGATAGATAGATAGATAGATAGATAGATAGATGAACAGATGAATAGATAGATAGATAGATAGATAGATAGATAGATAGATAGATAGATAGATATGAACAGATAGATAGATAGATAGATAAGGAACAGATTGAGATAGATAGATAGATAGATAGATAGATAGATAGATAGATAGATAGATAGATAGATAGATAGATAAGGAACAGATTGATATAGATCAGTCACGGGCAAACTGCGGCCCGTTGTGGCGTTCTAAATGGCGCGCCTAATTTAATGAGAGAAATAACGTTTAATAACATTTTGCGTTTTGTTTCATTCTCGCTTGTTCACACACATTCTCTCTCACGCCAAAAAGTTGGTGTCAAAGGGAGATAACTGTTAAAGCCAGACTAACCTTCCTTACTGTTGCCTGTTGCGTTGTGGGGACAATTCGACTAAACTATAAACATTACAATGATTAAGTAAGATTTCTTGAATTTTGTAACCTTTCGTTAAAGGTAACGTTTGCAGCATTTTAAACTATTGGCCATTTTCATTAAGGAAGATCATACGTGTAAAAATATTTTGCTTTAGAAATGAAAAAGGTTCATATTAATTTTTTTTTTCATTTTCAAATGAATAATTTAGAAACTAATCATACAGAACAGCATGTTAATCAGTGTCATTAGTGATAATATTATACGAAATTTTCAATTTCTTAATTATAATGAAAATCTTTTCTCCAAATAAATCATATCAACCTTTTCCCGCACTTTTAAGTTAGATGTTTACGCGTATGATCTTCTGTAGGGAAAATGTTCCCATTACTTTCATTGAAAATTTACTTTGATTTTTTTTATTAGTGCGACCCGCCTTATAATGAACCATATCTCATCCGACACACTGATTGGAAAAGGTTACCCATGCCTGATATAGATAGATAATGAACAGATTAAGATAGATAGATAGATAGATAGATAGATAGATAGATAGATAGATAGATAGATAGACCAATAATTTTAAGGCTTGCCAGGTCCATTAATGCGGTCCCTTTTAGTAAACGCTGCGCTAGAAACATCGATCTTCTCAAATTTCATCAATAGCCAAAAAAAGAGTGTCAAGTAGCTAAGGACTAAATGATCGATCCAATCAGGTGATCAAATTGTTGGTGCACTAAATATTGACACTGTTATGTCTGCCACAATTACAACCTGTTTGATGGGAGACGCGAATCGACGTTGCATGGTGAAGGAACAGCAGGTTAGAGGAGGGCGATTAATTTGCCGTTACACTTTAAGGTTATTTACCGCTTCCATAAAATAAGCTTCCTTTCAGAGTGAATTAGCGCCATCTTGACTGTTGCGTCCCCTAGACGTTGAGCTGCGCCTGCGCGGTATCTCCTTCTCGCCTCCTGGCAAAATCACTTTAGCTAATTTTTAAGTGTACTCGATTGGAGACAACTTGGCAGGATGTTTGCTTACGGCCACAAGGAATTTTCACTGACTCAATGAAGAAAGAAAGAAAGAAAGAAAGAAAGAAAGAAAGAAAGAAAGAAAGAAAGATGGAAAGAAAGAAAACGGGTGTGTGGATAGAAAGAAAGAAAATAAACATGTGGGTAGAAAAAAAGAATGAAAGAAAAAGGAAAGAAAGAATGATATATGGAAATAAAGAAAGAAAGAAACAACCAAAAAGAAAGAAAGAAAAAACAAAGACAGATATGTGGAAAGAAAGAAAGAAAGAAAGAAAGAAAGAAAGAAAGAAAGAAAGAAAGAAAGAAAGAAAAAAGAAAGAAGAAAATAAACATGTAGGTAGAAAAAAAGAATGAAAGAAAAAGGAAAGAAAGACGGATATATGGAAATAAAGAAAGAAACAAACAACCAAAAAGAAAGAAAGAAAAAACAATGAGGGATATATGGAAAGAAAGAAAGAAAGAAAGAAAGAAAGAAAGACAGACAATGAAGATGTGCGTAGAAAGAATGAATGAAAGCAAAAAAGAAGAAAAAAGAAGAGAAAAGTGTAAGAAAGAAAAAGAAAAAAATATGACATGAGAAAAATGGCAGAAGATGACAGGGAATGCGCTGACAAGAAAATGGCTATATAGATCGTCTCACCAAGACGTAAACGATAAACCGATGAAAGGTTTTTAAAAATGGTTTACAGAAATATTTTAAAGCATTTTTAATTCCTTCGGCAGCTTAGAAATAACCGCAGATATCAGTTAATATCCAGCCCATCGTGTTAACTATACTCCTAAGAAAAATAACATTTTACAATTCTGCTTGTTCCACCGTCAGTTAATAAGTTAGTTAGTCTGTACGTTATGCCCTGACATTACCTCAGATAAATAATAGACCATTACGTTTGCGAAGAAAGACGAAAGAAAAATATATACGCAGAGATTTTTTTTGTTTGAGAGAGAAAAAGAAATTATGTAAGAAAGAAAGAAAGAAAGAAAGAAAGAAAGAAAGAAAGAAAGAAAGAAATGGAAAATAGAGGAGTTGATAACACTCTCATGCATTTTTATATCGTTTCGCCTCGAGCAAGGCAATAAAGCCACTAAGACGCAAGGGCGTTACTGCGTGCTAGACAATATGAGGAAAAACAGTATTAAAGAGTGAGAGAGATCAGTAAAAGAAGAGTAATTAAGAAAACAGAATATAACGATTGACACTGCATTTAAATTTTTGAAGAGCAAAGTTTGCTGGGAAGCAAGAATCCGGAAGCGAGTTCCACAAGCGAGAAGAGCGATCGAAGAAACGGTTAACATAGAACTTACGGTTACATTTAACCATTTACCGCCAATCTAGTACTGCACTTAAATTCATAAAGTCTACGTACCAAAGAGGAAACGTTTAATGTCTGCTTCTATAAAATTGCTTGAATGACTAGATTGCTTTGTTTTTTTTTACGGTTTATCAACCCTTTGTAGGTTATTTAAAGCCAGAACATATTTTTAGATGGTAATGTTTTTTTTTACATAATAATGGTTTAGTGAGAGTTTTACTAATTAACCCATCACTGGGGGGAGAGAAATGGTGTATTCGTACCTTTCCCAAGGGTATTTACGCGTAAGTAAATACAACAAAACCGAGTGGAATTGGAACTCGGCTCTCCAATTAACAATTCCGGCCATTATTGATTACACCACCCACACATCAAAGTTTACAGTACCTGGTATTTCCAAACGGTCACCCATCTGGCTACTAACCTTGCTCAACGGTGCTTAACTGATCGTATAGGAATAGCTGTTTCATCCTGATCTGGCCGTAAAAATGGAAAACCTTGTCAATATTTAATTTTTTTTCATTTGTATCCTCTTACTTCTTTAAATCATAACCTGCATTCATAGATTTTCTAAGCGCAGCTTAAATTTGGCACAAGGCCGAAAGTATGGCACATCCATTGAAGAACCCACTACTCAGTCGTAATTGCTCTAGCGAGACAAGCTTATTAACCATCATACCACGACGCGCCCACTCCCCAGCATCCATACGTATGATTGTTATGGCAACATTTTGTTAAGAGTTTATTTTATCGTCGTTGAACTCGCAAGAGGCTTATTCAATCATTGACTTAAGAATTATGATTCACCAGAAAATTCAAATAGAACTATGAATATTGCCAGTTGCTATGATTATTTGAATTAAGTACGTCTTTGTGGCTTCCTTCAAAACGCTGTGTTTAACGAGCAGTCTAGCTTTTCTAGTATTGTCTGAAATACTAAGAGAAGTTTTTTTTTACGACGAGATTTGATAGACGCGAAACGTCTTCAAATCGATAATGTTCCAAATGAAGTTTCTTGCCTTGAATGTTTAAGTTCAATTTCAATTCAAGGCTACAAATGGAATAACATATGTACGATCCACCGCCAACTTCTCCAGTCTAAAATGACCTCTTTAGTGCAATGAGGAAGGTTCTGACGAAGGGTTTACATTTTTTTATTTTTTATTTATTTTTTTTTAAGCATTACGCCCCGAGCAAAGCGTGAAGCCACTAGGATGCAGGGGGTTGCAGAAGATTTGGAGCAAGATCAGATAGGAGTGATAGAAGAAAGGATGAGGAGAAGGATAGTAGATAGATCAAGGTAACTGGAGATGTCGATCGACATTACATTTGAATAGTTGGAGATTATAGCTCTCAGGGAAAGAGTAATTGGGAAGGGTGTTCCACAGGCGAAACGTGCGAGGTATGAATCTATTGGAGTAGAAGAGACGGCTACATTTAAAATTCTCTACAGTGAAAGGTTGAAAGAGGGATGCCAGCCTCGTAGGGCGCTTGAATTCATGAAGTCTGGGAACCAGTGAAAGCAACTCATCGGAGCAATTACCATGAAAGTAATTGTAAAAAAAGACAGAGAGAGGCGACGGCGCGTCAGTGAGAGAGCAACTGTAGACGAGATGCCAGATCGGGGCCAATTATATTACATATCCGCCTCTGGATCTTGTCAAAAACTTCGAGGTAAACAGAAGATGGACCAGACTATATATGGCAGCAATACTCCATGCAAGGGCGAATGGTTGATTTGTAGATTTGAAGTATCGATTCCGGGGAGAAAAATTTCCTGGCGCGGCACAAAGTGCCAACTTTCCTTGCGGTGGACGAAGCAATTGACTCAATGTATTTGTTCCATCTCAGGTCAGCAGTCAACGTGAGACCAAACAGACGCAGAGAGTTGCTTTCAAGAAGTTCCCCGGGCCTGAGAAACCTCTCCCGTCTAAAATGATCTCTTTAGGGCAATGAGGTATGTTCTGCTGTAGGGTTTGCATCCCCGGGCCTGAGAAAGCTCTCCCGTCTAAAATGATCTCTTTAGGGCAATGAGGTATGTTCTGCTGTAGGGTTTGCATCCCCGGGCGTGAGAAAGCTCTCCCGTCTAAAATGATCTCTTTAGGGCAATGGGGTATGTTCTGCTGTAGGGTTTGCATCCCCGGGCCTGAGAAACCTCTCCCGTCTAAAATGATCTCTTTAGGGCAATGAGGTATGTTCTGCTGTAGGGTTTGCATCCCGGGCCTGAGAAAGCTCTCCCGTCTAAAATGATCTCTTTAGGGCAATGAGGTATGTTCTGCTGTAGGGTTTGCATCCCCGGGCCTGAGAAACCTCTCCCGTCTAAAATGATCTCTTTAGGGCAATGAGGTATGTTCTGCTGTAGGGTTTGCATCCCCGGGCCTGAGAAACCTCTCCCGTCTAAAATGATCTCTTTAGGGCAATGAGGTATGTTCTGCCGCAGGGTTTGCATCCCCGGGATTGAGCAACTTCTCTCATTTATAATTAGAAGAAATATAGCTCCACTTACAGCACAGGAGGCGATAACCACGCTTCAGTAAACTCTCATTAGCAACGGTTAACTCCTATGCCAGGTAAGTATTGCTTCATTTTGGGGGTTTAACTTGACTTTTCTAAAGACAGACATGGCAGGTTCAGTAAGTACTTTACTCCACTCACCATCTCTGTCTTTAGAAAAGTCAGATCAGACCCCAAAAAATGAAGTAATTCTACTATATTCGGTCTGGAGCCACCCAAGTTTTCCAGCTTTGACATAGTTCAAAAGTGATTCAAGGGGCTTTGCGTGGTATGACTTATTTTCCACCATACCATCCCTTTCCCCACAGACCTAACATCCCAACCTTCTCGCTATTCTATCTCTATTTCCATGTTCCAATTAGTTTTATTCTTTAGTTCTACCAGTTCCGATCAGCTTACGATCAGCGAAGTTAAGCAACGTCGAAACTGGTCAGTACCAAGATGGGTGACCGCTTGGGAATACCAGGTGTTGTAAGCTCGGATATGTGGATGATGTAATCGGCTTTCGGTCATATCACTTTGAAACACCTGTTCCCGTACGATCAGCGAAGTTAAGCAACGTTGAAACTGGTCAGTACCAAGATGGGTGACTGCTTGGAAATATCAGGTGCTGTAATCTTTGATATGCAGAAGTGTAATGGATAACGGCTCGGAATTGGAAATCAAAGATCCGTGTTCGAATTCCAGTCGGGTCTGTTATATTCACTTATGCGCAAATGCCCTTGAGAAAAGGCATGAATCTACAACTATTTTGAATGGAATTTGGATACAAGCATTATGATTGTCGAAATATCTTCTGTACGTTTACCGTGATTACAAAAAAAGTCTATAAAACACCGTATTATGTTAATTATAAAGTTCAAACTAATATTAATGCTAATACGTAACATTAACATGGATTAATGATTGATTGATTCTTTTTTACGGTTTATCGACCCTTTACAGGAAAAGCTAGGAATACACCTCATCCCCTCACCACTCTCCAGCTTTTGGTTAATTAGTAGAATTTTTATCAGTAAATCATTATTATCTCCAAAAAAATTCTTACAATCAAAAAATTATTTTCTGGTTTTAAAAAAGTTTCAAAAGGTTGATAACCCCCAAAAAACACAATCAATCAATCAGTTCAGACCTTCACAGCTAAAATCCGCCATTCTACTTCGCCATCGTCGGATTATATTATTTTCGTATTCCATTTGTAAGACGAAATTTCCACTCAACTTCTTCCTAAGAAGCGCTAGTTTGTAGAACAGACTCCCACGTGGTTGCTTTCCCGAACACCGCAATCTTAGCATCTTCAGGTTCAGAGCCTCTATAAATATGCAAGTAAGATTACGAATGACAATTTCTAACGCAAGATTTCAGAACTTGGAAGTCAGGCGCTACACAATCTTCCGACTCAGTGCCTATTAATCTTCACCTATTTGCTATTTTGCTATTATATTATATTGTATGCCAATAATTTTCTTCCTCTGTGACACGATTATTTTGTTCCCCGTTTCTGAAACTTTCCGAAAAAAATTCCTGGCAGAACGTTTATTTGAACCGGCATGCTTACAAAAAAGAATTTGCACCGACATAGCTATTCCAGATGTCACTTGTATTCAATACAAGAAATAAGGCGTAATTTCCATGGAATGTGTTCTGACCGGCTACATTCCTTAGTTCCACCAGCCCTTCACAGCTAAGACCCACCATGCCATATACACCCTTTCAAACCATCTTCGATGCCTTCGCATTCCATTAGTAAGGAGGAAATTCCAATCGGACATCTTCTTCCTAAGAACTGCTACCTTATGGAAAAGTCCCCCGATCGAGTGTTTTCCAGTTCTCTATAACCTTAACCTCTTCGAGTGCCGACCGTTATTTTGCCACGCATTCTCATAAACTGCACTTCTTACCTCCTCGTTACACTCATACAATATAATTCAGTAACACTCTACCTTGAGTGGCTCTTGGGCCTTGTGGTGTGGGGGGGGGAACATTAGCAAAAAAAAAATATAAAAGTTTAACACACGGTAGTTGGTCTCTACAATTCTTGTTCAAGACTCTAACTTCAGGATCGAAATGGCACAAACGGTAATCGAAGTGTTCGTTCCTCGCATCATCGATATTGACAGACGTCAGTGATTGCATCCGAACGCCAGAATAAATGTCTGGTGCGCACCACTTAATAGCATGTTTTGAGGGTTGAGGCGTCCAATCGATTATTCGTTGCTGGTAATTGAATGTCAACATCCCAAAACGAAAAATGCCAATATTTATTCATTTTTTTTTTTTTTTAATCTCGTCGATATTGGAATTGACGCAAAAATCAAGGTTTCAAATAACAGCCATTCAGGCAGACTGGTGCAATCAGATATTTCTTTTTTTCTCTGGCTGCGTAAAACTTAAAAATATCTATAATGATAAGCATGGATCTATCTCTATATATGGAAGAAGCAAAATTTTAAGAAATCACAAACACACACACATATATATATATATATATATATATATATATATATATATATATATATATATATATATATGTCTGTGTGTGTGTGTGTGTGTGTGTGTGTGTGTGTGTGTGTGTGTATATATATATATATATATATATATATATATACTTCGTTGTATTGATGTGAGTTTGCGACCCAGGGTTTCACGCCCTTGCGATCGTCAGACAAATTGATTTATTTTTTTACATTTTGGATATTGAGCGCTCTCCAATAAGTACCGCACATATATAAATAATATATATAGAAATTATATATATATATATATAATACGCGCGCGCGCGAGCGCTCACACACACACACACACACATATATATATATATATATATATATATATATATATATATAGTAATAGTTATCCACAGAGAGACTCCGGCTGCCTCTAGCTAGGATAGAAATCCGGCTGAATTGGAGTCAGTAAGAGAATCTATCCCTAAGCTGTTGCGGCACGGCGAGAATGAATGTGAATTTAAGCGTACTTATTTTTAGATACAGTGGCTGAGAGAACTCGATTCGTTTTATGGAAGAGTATTGCATTAGTAGCAGTATTAGTGACTGTTTGTAAATTTACACTTTCTCCTCTGAGAGCTCAACCGAAATAAGTTTTCAGGAGTATATACTGTCATTCACATCTCATCAGTATGCCTAGACGTCCGGTTGCCTCTAGCTAGGATCGAAACTCGGCTAAAGTGGCGTCAGTCGGACAATCTACCCCTAAGCCGTTTTAATTTTTATTAAGTTTTTCCAACATCCTAACATTTTTTCCGTTTTGTAAGATTAAAGGAATATAAAAATTGTCTATCAGTTTTATTGGCCCAAGCGCTTTCGATCAATTCTATAGCCATTTCCAAGGCTGTTTTGACTCTGGTGTTTGTTATTTTTTCCTCGTGTTTTGACTGTGACGTTGTAAATTTTTATGATCCTAATCATAATGATCGGTCATTTGCTTAGATTTTAGGGGGGGTGCCAAAACAGCTTAACGAGTTGGTGTGCGTGGTGGACAGAACAGTTTCTCGGAGGAAAAATTAAATGAAGAAACATTGCTTTGAGCTACACAGGATAGAAGATTGTGGAGCGCCAGAATCGACACAGAAAAGAAAAGAAAAGAAGCTTCAAAACTTTTAAAAATGCACGATTGATAGAAAGAATTCTTGGTTCGTACCATTTTGTTTTTCACTGTTTGAAGACTAAATTTCATATCTGTTAATAGTCATATGTTTCTTAGTATCGTCCGGTCGGTATTATATGGAGGATCGCTCGCGAACACTAGGTACTGTAAGGAACTTTCTACAATCCTAAACATGTTTCGGCTTTAAATAAACCAGAACGGGTTCATAATAGTAATGGTAATTGTTATATTTGCCGTTTCCCTATAAGGAAATATTCAGCCGAGCAGCCAGTACTGCTTTCGGTTGGAATTTATAAAATCTTTTTCTTAAAACAATATTTTTTTTTTATAGGAAAACAGGTTTCTCAAGTCCAGTAGCTGTTAATGCCACTTCCATTATTGATGGGTATTTCCTTCCTAACCTTTTGTTTGAAGTAGTGTGGAATGTCAACATCTTGATTATGTTATTATTTTCTCTTTGAGTTACAAGTGCTATCCATTTTAGTTGTTGCTGCTGTTGGTAGTCCTAAAGTGATATGGTTTCTGTTATCTAGTACAATTCTTTGTGATTCTGTAGCGCCAATCGACAGTGTTCAAAGAAGGTTGATCTTTGCCAAGACGCTCAGGCTTCACTCGCTCAAAACCTTTTTTTAACCATTGATCTTGGGAAGCGATTGTATACAGCTGACAGTTGAGATATTTCTGAATGGGGCTGACGCCATGCATGACATCCACATGAAAGTGTCGATCTGACGAGGCTATTTAAGAACATGACTCGAGTTATCCAATCGATGTTTTGGTTTTGTAGCAATTTGCAGTGTTGGGAAAAACTATCTCTGGCGCAATCTATTGTCTGTTCAATTTCATTTTCTCCTATAAGCTGTAAAAGAACATATCAATTAACAATTCTTGTCAGTGTGTCACACCTTTTCAACTTTACTCCTAGAGAACGTAGCCCAACATATAATACCATTTTGGAATCAGGCCAACCTCGTAATCAAATTAAAAACATTCCGGGTCTGATCCGGAGCCGCAATCCTGAAATTTTGGATTCCCAAGTTTTCATTATTGCGATTGTTTTCGACGATTTTTTTACGTGCAATTTTTTGGTTTTTTTTGCGATAATTTTTTTGTACGATAACAATTTTTATAACTTGGATATAAATTTGGAAATAATTGAAATTAATTGCGAAATCCAGCGAAAGTGACCCATGAAAAAAAAAAAAAAATGTTTGTACGAAAAGTAAGGACCTTCGCAGGAGGTAGCTTAAAAGCCGCCCGATATGAAGTAAAGAGTTACGACTGCTCTTCGCAATACATTGGGGAAACTTGCAGAAATTTAAAACAAAATGTATGTATGGACAAGAAAAGGATCTTATACACAATTTATCAAATGCATTAGTTTTAAATAGAAATAAATTCGATCACAATTTCGATCTAAAGAAAGCCACACTTATTAAAAGAGAAAGTAACTTACTTAGACGGAAAATTCTTGAGAATGCTGCTATTGAATTTTACCAAAATAAAAAATCTGCGTCCCGGATTTTTTCAACTATCTGCATTCCAGGGAGAATTACTATTATTCCCAAGCCAACATAGATAATTATAAAAATGGTAAAAATTTAAAAAGAAAACGGTTAAATTCATAACCTCATGTTATTTTAAAAAAATTAACAACAGCTTCATAGATAGATAGATAGATAGATAGATAGATAGATAGATAGATAGATATGAATAGACTGAGATAGATAGATAGATAGATAGATAGATAGATAGATAGATATGAATAGACTGTGATAGATAGATAGATAGATAGATATGAACAAACTGAGATAGATAGATAGATAGATAGATAGATAGATAGATAGATAGATAGATAGATATGAACAGACTGTGATAGATAGATAGATAGATAGATAGATAGATAGATAATGAATAGACTGTGATAGATAGATAGATAGATAGATAGATAGATAGATAGATATGAATAGACTATGGTAGCTAGCTAGATAGATATGAATATACTGTAGATAGATAGATAGATAGTTAGATAGATAGATAGATAATGAATAGACTGTGATAGATAGATAAATAGATAGATAGATAGATAGATAGATAGATAGATAGATGTGAATAGACTGTGATAGATAGATAGATAGATAGATAGATATGAATAGACTGTGATAGATAGATAGATAGATAGATAGATAGATAATGAATAGACTGTGATAGATAGATAGATAGATAGATAGATAGATAGATAGATAGATAGATAGATAGATAGATAGATAGATAGATAGATAGATGCAGAAAAATAGGCATACTGATCTGAAAAGAATGCGATACTTATGAATAGACGTAGGTAAATCGACAGACAGACATTTAGACTCAGAGAAAAACAATCGAACAGACAGACGACATTCCTCATCGTCTGAATATAAAACTAGGTCTCTTGTTAACGTCACATTTCGCAGAGGGAAACCTTACCAGTGCGATAACACACTTTCTACTTTCAGTTGGACTTTGACAGCGTCATTTGCCTTCTTTTGTATGTCTTTGTGTGTGTGCGCGCGTGTGTGTGAAGGGTGTATTGTGAGAGTGTGTGTAATAAATACCGTCTGAATTGCAAGTAAACTTGTGACTATGTGAAATCAGTCCTCAATTGATATGCTCACACGCCCGGGCACCCAGAGAAGATCGAACACACAAAGATAGTCGTTATGATATCCTGATTGGTTCGGTAAACTTTAGCCACAACAGGGCGTGCTGTTGTTTGCTAAGCTCAGCAAAAGACCACAAGTGATGTGTGCCAAGCCGTAATGACAAGCTCGTTAACGATGGCGGCGTCACCACCCTAGACTAAACTTATTTTGGGCCCAAGGCCACAAGTAGGAGTTTTCCATGAGGATCAGTCTCCTTCAGCCAGAAAACTCGGGTCATGTTCTCAAATAGCAACGTCAGATCGAAATTTTTCAATTTTTCGGTTCAATTTCTACTTTCTAAGACCAATGGTGAAAAAATAGGCTTTGACCGAGTGAATCCTGAGGGTCTGGGGCCAAGGCTTCCATTCCTTGAACATCGTGGACTGGCGCTACAGATTCAGAAACAAAGGATCGTACCAGATAACAGAAACCACATCGCTTGAGGACTACCAACAGCGGCAAGCACTAAAATGGATAGCATGTTTGACACGTAGAGAAAATAATGACATAATCAAGATGTTGATACTGATTTTCTAAGCGTAGCTTAATTGTGGCACAAGGCCGAAAAAATCCGGATGTTGATATACTACATTCTACTTCAACTAAAAGACCATCAACAATGGAAAGAGCGATAACAGCTACTGGACTTGATAAACCTATTTTCCTGAAAAAAATTTTGAAGAAAAAGATTTTATAAATTTCAAAAGACAGCAGCACTAACTGCTCAGTCAATGAATACCAGATGTTTCCTTGTAGAGAAACGGCTAATATTACCACTAGCCGAATTAGTCTCGCCTTGCTGCATGCCACACATTTTTGTTGTAAGAAAATGATGATTGATTTTAAATCCTTGTTATAATTTGTGGAGAAAAACAAGGTATTTCAGTATTACTGAATGATTTTGCCGATGTGATCTCCATCTTCTGGCTTTCTCCTTCTATATTTTGGATAGGAGTCATTCCTTTGCTCAAATTTGAATTTAATTTAAATCAAAGGGGAAAAAAGTGTGGGGATGCAAAAGCAGCTTGATTTGACTCTTTTTGATATGTATTTGATGCAATACTTGATTGAATGAATTGATGAGCAGATTTTCAACATTGATATGACAGCTGAATTGTCACAACAAATATAAGGCACTACCCACTGATTGATGATTTCTTGCTCAACTTGACATCCATATTGTCTCATTTTAATCTTGCCGATGTGACCTCCATCTTCTGGCTTTCTCCTTCTATATTTTGGATAGGATTCATTCGCTTGTTTAAATTTAAATTTAATTTAAATCAAAGGGAAAAAATTCAGTGGAGGGTCTGTGACCCCCCAACATCGAGGACCATCAAAATGAAATATACTTATCCAAGTACCCTGGGTAATGTAGTTTCAGAATATATATGGTTATTGTTACAGTTTTTTGTGTATATGTAACTAGTGAGCCAATCCAAATGACTTAACTCCCTTTATAGTCTACCAATAGAAGGTTAACCAATCAGAAGACGTAGAACATTCAATTCGTCGTGTATAAAGGCGGCCATTTTTGTTTACTCTATCCGAATGTCCAGTGCCAGCTTGTCAGGCGAAGAGAACCAGAAGGACGAACTACGCTCTGCTACTTTTACCAAAATATCCACTGCTAACCTGAACAACGCTTTCCTACTGTCTTCGAAATATTCACTGCTAACCTCTGGATTCTATACTCGAAGACGACCGTCATCATGAATAACAGTTATTGGAGAGGTCTATCTCCAAAACACTTGGAGGAGCTCGATAACAAACAAACACACAGACAGTGGCTACAAATTTATATATACAGATTAATGTTACCAATGGCCAAAAGAAATCACTCGCCAAGCGTTTCCCCACGCTGACGTGCCTTACACGCGTGCCCTTGTTGATTCAAACCCACTCTTCGATTCGTAAAATGAGTTCGTGAATAGGCAAGAGAGGTGCCGCATAATTAGGAAAAAAACACGTCGCAGAGCTTTTTAAAGGATATTTACTCTATCTACTACGTGAAATATTCATAGAGAAGCCGTTCAGTTTTGATAAGCGAAAGAATAAATAAATAAAATCCACTCCTGCCCCCCTATTCCCCGTCAAAGTGATAAAGAAAAGCACGTATACGAATCCCTTGGTATTAACAGATCGAATATTGACCGAATTTTACTCGGGTTTTAAATATGTGATTCTAATGTATAATGTATGCGTTGGTGTCTCCAGTGCGATCTCATCTTGATGATGTACCCACTGAAGCGTGCTGTATTAAAAAGGCGCGAAAGGAAAGAAGAAGAAAAAAAGAAAGAAAAAGAAGGGGAAAGAAAGCGATAGAAAATAGAAAAATGGAAAAAGAAAGAAATAGAGAAAAAGATGGAAACAGATAAAGAAGGAAAATACTAAAGATGGTATACAAGAAAGGAAGAAACGAAGAAAGATGATAAAAAAAAGAAAAAGATAAAAAAGCGAAAGGAAATGAAAAAAGAAAGAAACAGAAAAAAGAAAAAGAGAAAAAGAAACAAAATGCAAAAGAAAAAAGTCAGAAAGAAAAAAAAAAAAAAAGAAAGAAAAAAAAAAAAAAAAAAGAAAATGAAAAGAAAAAAAAAAAAAAAGAAAACGAAAGAAAAAAAAAGAAACAAAATGAAAAAGAAAAAAGTCGCAAAGAAAAAAACAGAAAACGAAAGAAACAGAAAAAGAAACAAAATGAAAAAGAAAAAAGTCACAAAGAAAAAACAGAAAACGAAAGAAACAGAAAAATAAAACAGAAAAAGAAACAAAATGAAAAAAAAAAAGTCACAAAGAAAAAAACAGAAAACGAAAGAAACAGAAATACAAACAGAAAAAGAAAAAAAATGAAAAAGAGAAAATACGAAAAGATAATGAAATTGAAAAAGAACAGGGAAAAGAAGGCAAATGAAAAAAAAAAAACAAAGAAAAGGGGCAAAATAAACAGAAAGAAACCCCCCAAAAAGACAAAGAAAGAAGCAGAAAAAGAAAGGAAATGAAATATTTGTAATAGAAAACAAAAAAGAAAGCAAAAAGAATGAAACGAAGAAAAAGAAAGAAAATAACAGAAAAAGAAAGTAAACGAAAAAGAAACAGAAAAATGAAAAAGAAACAGAGGAAAAAAATGAAATTAATGGAAACTGAAAAAAAAGAAACAGAGAAAAGAAAAAAAAAGAAACAAAGCAAAAAGAAAATAGAAAGGAAAAAGAAAAATTACAAATAAAGAAAATGAAAAGGATAGAAAATGGAAAAAAAATGAAAAATAAAGAAAAAGTAGAAAGAGAACAATGAAAGAAAATCTCAAATGAAATGAAATGAAAAGAAAGAAAGAAAGACAGAAAGACAGAAAAAAGAAAAGGGAAAAGAACAGAAAAAGAAAAAGAAAAATAGGTGGAAAAAAGGTGGAAAAGAAAACGAACAAATCTAAACACAAAAAGAAAAAGAACGAAACAATATAAGTACAAAAGAAAGAGAAAAGGATAGGAATAATAAAAACAACAGAAAGAACAGAAAAATTAGAAAAAAAAGAAGAAAACTCGAGGAAAAGAAGAAATAAGAAAAATAGAGAAAAAGAAACTTTGTTGCAACTACGTACTCCGCGATGTTCTCTACTATGTTGCAGATGATGATGTGTTGTAGTGTTTACCTGTCGAAGTGGATACTCTACAGACCCGTGGTAATCCTTTTAACTGAAAATTCATTCAAATCACTCTGATAATAGCAAACAGCTATTTATTACTAGAGAATGCTTTCTTCTTTTTTTTTTTTTTTTTTTTTTTATTTGTAGCTGGAGTGAACGAAAGTCTAGAAAGGCCTCCTTCTCTTTCAGGTCTTTTGCAATGAACAGTCAGTCAAACAATAATACCGACTTTTTCTTCAGTTTCCCTTCTTTCCTTTCAGTCAGTTTCTTTCATTTTTACCTTAAATTCGTTCTTCTAACCCCAGCGAAAAGTAACTCCGTTTCGCTGTCGGACCGGGGGGACAAAAAGGGCTTCACTGACTGACTAGAGCGGATACTCCAACTGCCTGCGTGTGTGGACTTTTCTGTTTATAATGTCTTCGGACACTAGAATTGTCACCAAGGCCTTTTCTACAGACAAAGATTCTCTTGACAAAAACCAGACGCCAAGACCTGAATAACTTGGTGAAATACCAGGTGCTGTAAGCTGGGATGTGCGGACAGTGTAGCGGATAGCGACTCGGAATTGGAAATAGGGGAACCGAGTTCGAATTCCAGTCGAGTTCGTTATATTCACTTACTCGCAAATACCCATGCGAAAGGTATAAATCCACCTCTTCTCCACCCAGATATGGGTTAATTAGTACAACTTGTATCACTAAAATTCGTTATTATCTCTAAAAAAAACTCTTACAATGTAAAAATATTCCTGGCTTTAAATAACTTCGTAATAGGTTGATAAGCCGTAAAAAAAACAAATCAATCAGAAAAGTATTGGAAAGGTGATTGATAGAGAAAATTTTCGTTTTTAGGGGTGGGAGGGTGTTAAAATTAACAAGCTATTCCTTGTCCCATTTAACAACAGGTTGTATGTCGTTCTTGAGATCAGATCCAAATTTGAACTTATCGAACTGATCTGACTTACTATCGAGACAGGATTAAATGGGTGTGTCGTCAGCATTTGTCTTTATAGACACGCGACGGTCTTCATCCAGAAAATTGTAAATTTTCTCAACCAGTTCTAACGTTCCTCTTCCTCCCAGATGTCTCTTCGTTTCTCACTTCCTGTCTATCTGTCCTTGAATCTTTTGTGCCAACGAAAAACAGATGCTCAGCTTATACAATTTAATCTACAAGCAGACTGGAACATTTCAGAAGATTCTGAGGCCTTTTTGCGCAGTTTAACGCAAGACTTAATCGCATAGCGAATTTTCCAAATAGTCTTCACGTCTTGACTGCATTCTGCAAACTCGTCAGCTGTGACAAACCGTGTTTAGTCGGGTGTGTTCAAAGAGCTTTTACAACCGTCTCCTTCAATCTGGAATGACAAAAGTTGGTAAATCAACTTATTAGATGTATAGTACTTATACTTTAACATTACTAAAATCTAGGACAGTTATAAATGCCTCTCTTCAACAAAAAAGTTCGAAAAAAATCTGGAATGCACCTTTTAGATTCATCTTGGGAAATAAGCATTAAGATCTAATCATTTATTGCTTCTAGTTATCCTTCAACTTTTATGACTGTAATTTTATATGTCAGGTTTCGAGTTGGATCAGTCGTCTATTTTCAGGTGTCCTAAGTTGGTACAAACGAACAAAACCTCAGAGCCATACCTATAGTGTGTGTCGTCCGGAAAAAACCAACAAATAACATATATAACAAATATATATATATATATATATATATATATATATATATATATATAATATAATATAATATTAGGCAGCATATATTTTATATATAAAGAAATAATTGATTGATTCTATGTATGATTATTTCTTTATATATATATATATATATATATATAGAAATGTTTGTGTTTGTGTTGTTTTTATAGATGTGTGTTTGTGCAAATGTCTGTTTAAGTTAAACAGTATTAAATAAGATTTAAAAATGAATGTCGAAAAATTTTCATAGAAAATTTTCATTCATAGACAGGATTCGAACCTGCATCCTATACGGAACTTGCGTCATATACCTGACATATTTTTCTATTTCCATTTCTGTGTGTCGTGTGCGTGACACACGTCACACACACACACACACATGACACAACACACACACACACACACACACACACACACAAACCCGTCCTAGACATGAGGATAAACTACATCCGCGTGTCCTGAGTAAGATGATAAACTATGTCCAACATCAAGGCCTCTGATCAGGAGGTTTTGAGGAGTGTGGAACCACCTCTTAATTGCTGGTGTTCCCAGGTACACCCTAACCCGGGGTGGTAGTACCTGTTAGGGTCCCAGCTATGGGCAAATTGTTAACCCTCAAACTGGGGTCAAAACACTCTAAAAGTGTAAAAATAGATTTTAATACCAGCAATAATTTTTTTTAAAGGGAAATTATTACCACCAAAATATTTTTGCGGAAAAAAAATTACCAGAAGTAAGGCAACTATCATCAAAACATCTGTCATCGCCACCATTAACATCAAACTTAATGATTTTATTACCACTTAGGCGGAAAGTCACTTTTGCCAACAATGAAATATTAAAAGAACATAACGAAATTTTATTTGTTTAAAAATTTATTCCTTTAATTTGCCAAAAGGTCACGAGACCGGAACGCATGTAGCAAAAGTATGAAGAATAAAATAATATAATATATACACTAAAATACATCCACATAATAATAAAAAACGTTTGAGGTTTCTTCTTTTAATATATATATATATATGTGTGTGTGTGTGTGTGTGAAAAGTGCATATAAATATAAATAAATATATATATGTATAATTATTTATATATTATATGCGCGGTACTTATTAGAAAGCGCTCAATATCAGAGATAGAGCTAACATATTTGGTTGGATAGATGTGAGTTTGTGACCCTGGGTTTCACACTTTAGCGATCGTCAGACAAACTGATTAATGTTTTAAAAAATTTGGGTTTATGTAGATTGCGTGTATTGGTGTTATTGTGGAAGTGGTGGGGGAAATTTCGTCGTTTTGTCATTCATCGTACTAATGCAAACATCGATGTATGCAGACACATATACATACTTGGTCGTCCGTCGGGACTCATACAAATATAAACATATGTGGGCAGTTTCGGATATGACATATGTATGTATGTATACGGGTGGTGTTATGTCTATACATACGCATTTGTATGTTGAAATGTTGAAATTTAAACATTGGAAGTGTGGCGGAAATGTCTCGTTAATGTCTCGTGAATGTTTACATGTCATATTATGTATTTTCCCGCTGAAAAATATTTCCTCGCATGTATGTATATGCGTGTGGTGGGGTTTGTGTAAAATTATGATAGGTAAAAATTATTATTATTTATATTTATTTTTAAATTTTTGAAAAAAAAAATGGGGGTTTATTTGTTATATTTAAAGCTGGTTATTTGTTTGTTTTTGGTGACTGTGTATATGTACCAGGTAGAAATTTGTAAGCCTTATTGGTTAATTTATATGGTGATGTTTAGTTTAATATTCAATGTGCTGGGTGAGAGAGTAGTTCAATTTAATAACGGGTCTATATGATATGATGTGATAGTAATGTTTCAAGGGATTGGAGACAATGATAGTTAGCTAATAGTTATTGTAAATTGGTAGAAATTGTAAATTGGTAGAAATGATTAGTAACGGTGGTGGGAGAATGATAAAACCATGAATGTAGTTATAGTGGCGGTAGCTTGAACTAAAAAGTGGTTGTTGGTGTTTTATTTTATTTTTGTTTTATTTTGTTATATGTATTAATTTATTTTGGTATAAATCCTGATAATAGGTATTCTGTGTAAAATTATGGTAGTTGAAGATTGCTATAATTTGTAATTTTTAATTACAAAATTATTATTGTTATTATATTAAAGCTGCCTGGTAATAGATGTTTAGATGTTAAAAACCCGAGACATTCAACTTTAATACAAAAAAGTGCCCACCAATATGCAAGAAAATGTTAAAATTCGAAGAGGACATGATAAATTTAGTTAGAACCTTGAAATTCAAAAGACACTATTATCAATGGTGTATTTGTAATATTATTTTAATATTTTTAATATTGAGCACTATATGTAATTTCTGCTTTACTTATTTGAACTATTATATTCTTAAATATTAGGCTTATCTTAACTAAGCTGTTATTTTGTTTTCTTATTCGATTTGGTGCTATTCTAAAAAAAAAAAAAAAAAAGGAATAAAGCATAAAACAATACGACCATCTTTATTTCTGAAACGAAAGCTACAACTTTCTTACTAAGCAACTTTTCTTGCTTTTTCTCGACAGATTTATACAACCCCCACCCAAAAGTGCTCATCCGTTATCAAGATCGAGAGATTGGAAATTTTGAGATGCGTGGAACTACCTGACAATTGCTGTTGTTCCTAGGTTCATCCTGTCCTCGGGTAGAACCACCTATTGGGGTCCCAACTTTGGGCAAACTGTGAACATCCAAACAGGAACGAAACACTATGAAATTATAAAAAATATGGTTTTATAGGAAAATTACCAACAATAAAATTTTATAGTAGAATGACCAACAATGGGTTTTACACCAAAATGACTAACAATACATTTTTTCTGTAATTGAAGCCATAAAATCGCTTTCAAAATATTTAGATTTCGGCATGAATGACCCATAGAACTTGATATGCTTCTAAACAAAATCAACCAACCAACTAAATGTGTTGTCCCCATAAAAGTGCCGCCTCGGGGCGGACTGCCCACCTCTATCTACGCTACTGCTAAACACGCTTTGAAACGATGCCTTATATATATATATATATATATATATATATATATATATATATATATATTATAATTATTTTTAAAAAATATGATTCCTTCGCTACATAAGAGTTCTCATATTTCAAAAACGAGAACCGAAATCATCAATATAATTATTAAAATTATAATCAAATCTCTACTTCTGTATGGAGCACTGTGTTTTAAAAATAAAAACAAA